CTGAATTTAAAGACAGACTGAAACTGTTGTGTTTTTGGGGTGTCTGAGCCATCCCCTGATGGGGTGTGTGTTGGACTAAGACTATAGTCATCCAGATGGCAGGCTACAGAGGGATGAGCATTAGACAATTGGGCAACATCAAAACCAGGCTGAAGAGAAACTTTGAATTCCATCTGGAGTGGCTAGGGTGGGAGGTTTGGAGCCCCACAGAAGAAGACAGAGATCAAGACCTGAAGGATCACCTTGGGGTATTGCCTCCTATTAACATTGTACTAACAAAGTCATAGCAGGAAAGAAAAAGTAAGATCAATGTCCTGGCAGACCAGGTGATCTGAGGTTGAGGTCCATCCTGTCACTGCCTGTAGGTAAATGAACTCTCAGCAGTGGCAGTAAGCCTTATAATACCTACAGTCATCACATTGGTGCATTGGCCGGGAAAGCAGAACCCACCCCAGGGGTAGAGATGGAGTTAGATCTGCCAATAGGGGTCACAACAGGCGCAGAGGCCATACAACAGACCTTGGGCCTGGTAGAACAGTTATTACAGCAGCAGCAGCAACAGGCAGTCAGACAGATGGTGGTAGATGAGCAACTGATGAGACAACAGGAGTTAATACAGCGCAATTTGGTGGATTTAAAGGTACCAAAAATGACATTAGAGGATGACCCCAAAGCATTTTTAGAGCGTTTTGAAAGGGTTGCAGTGGAGGCAGGATTAGTTCCATCAAAGTGGGCAGCCAAGTTAGGAGTACTTTTAGTTGGACAGGCACAGGCGGCATATAGTAATATGTTACAATTAGGTGTTCAAAATTATGAGAGGGTCAAAGAGGAAATTTTATTGTATTTGGATATCACCCAAGAGAGATATGGACAAATGTTCAGAGTGTGAAAAAAGAAAGAAGAGAAAACTCCTAGGGCTTTGCTACAGAGACTAGTGATTTTACTGAATAGGTGGCTTAAGCCGGCAGTCACATCCTTGGAGGAGGTTGATTGACACAGTCTTGTTAGAACAGTTCCTTACTGACCTAGAGGAAGGTACTCAGAGGTGGGTAAGGTGTCATCGCCCCAAGACCTCTAGAGAGGCACTGTGATTAGCAAAGGATTTTGATTGTGCATAGGGGAAAGGGCCTTGAGAAAAAATTGGTGGACCCAACAGTAGTATGAGTGGTAGGACCAGAGAGCTCCAGGGGAAATGTGACAGTAAAGGGCTTAACTAGGTAATAGTGGCTGGAGTCACTTGCTTTAGATGTGGTAAGAAAGGGCATATGGCTAGAGACTGCCCAAGTAACCCACGTCTATATAGTTCTGAATTTTATGTGCAGCAAGAAGGGAAAAATGAGTCAATGGGGGCACAGGAACCACCTCCAGTGGAGATGATGGATTGTAGTTTCGGAAGAGTGCTAGGGGGAGGATGATGAGCTAAGTCATCAGTGTTGACGGAGGTGGCTGGGCAAGTGGTCCAGGCAATTATAGATACAGGGTGTGATCAAACCTTGGTGCAAAAAGGGTTAATAGCCCTAAGCGGAGGAGTGAAACTGACACCTATCCAGTTGGTTTGCTTACAAGGACAAGGCTGCATGTACCCAAGGATGAGAGTGTGACTACCAGTAAAAGGGGTCACTCTGGAATGGCCAGTAGAGATAGCAGATGACCTGTTGTACCCTATGATATTAGGCCAAGATTGGCCGGAGATCGATCAATTGTTAGCAAAGGAACAGGAGCAAATAGCCCCCAGGGAAGGCCTTATAGGTGAGGAAGATGCAGAGGGATCAGAAAGGGAGGACTCTGATCTATGGGATATAAGTACGTTCACAGGTGGAGCGTAATTCCGGGAAGCCGAACAGGAAGAGCCAACATTTTGAGCCATGTGGGAGTCAGAGATTGCCGAAAGAGAGCAACAGGTAATATGCCCAGAACTGTGTGATCAACTGCTGTGTTGCGAGGTGAGGAAGGGTTTGTTGTACCAACTTAAAAGGGAGTGGTGGGAGGATGAGGTGCTAGCCCACGTTATGGTGCCTCTGTCCCATCATCGTGATTTATTGCAATTGGCTCACGCCAACCCACTAGGTAAAGAGAAAACTATAGCATAATTTCTTCTGACCAGGGTGCTATCAAGATATGGACCAGTTTTGTAATAGATGTTCTGAGTGTCAAAGGGTCAGTGTAAAGAAGCCTCCAAGGGTACCCTTGCAGGTTATGCCCATAATAGCTGAACCATTCACACGTATAGCCCTGGATGTGATAGGTCCACTCCCAAAAAGTGTGGGAGGGCATCAGTTCGTATTAGTGTTGATTAATTACACGACCAGATAGCTGGAGGCAGTTCCAGTAAGGGCTGTCAGGAGTCTGGAGGTGGTGGAGGAATTGTTGAAATGGATTTTGAGGGTAGGGTAAGCTTCTACCAAGTCCCCTCTCAGCCTTTTCTTTTTCAGGCTGAAGAGTCCCAGGTCCTTCAGCTTTTCCTCATGTGGCTTGTCCTGCAAGTCTCTGATCATATAGGTAGCCCTTCTGTGGACTCCCTCAAGTTTTACTACCTCCTCGTTAAAGCGCAGAGCCCAGAAATGGATGCAGTACTCCAGCTGTGGTCTCACCAATGCTGAGTAAAGCCGAGTAGAGCAGGAGAATCACTTCTTTGCAATGGTTTTCCTGGAGATGCATCAATTGATGCATTCCAGCATATTGTTGGCCCTGCTGGCAACAGCATTGCACTGCCAGCTCATGTTCATACTGTGGTCAGTTATTACCCCCAGGTCTTGATGGCAAGTGATGGGGGATCTTCAGTCCTGCTGCCTGATGAGAGGCAGCAGTTGCACAAGCACCCATGTCACAAGTTTTGCTTGTCAGCAGCTAGGGGTGCAGGGCCCCAGAAACCCCCTGCACCAATACCCTTAACATTGGGCAGGCTTTGTGGCTGCAGCAGGGCCTAGCAGCCAGGCCTGCAGTGGTTTCCCTCCCCCCTCTGCCCCAAGACAGACACAGTTGCACAAGCACCCGTGACACAAGTTTTGCCTGCCTGCGGCCAGAGATGCAGGGCCCCAGAACCCAGAACCCCTGCACCGATCTCCCTGAAAGCTGGCAGGCTTTGTGTCCTCAGCAGGGGCTAGCAGGCCTGCAGCTTTCACCCTGCTGTGCCTTAACACAAACAGTCTCAGCTATGTCATGAGTTTTGCTGGTCTGCAGCTTGAGGTGCAGTGTCCTCGAACCCCCTGCACCTATCTCCTTAAAACTTGGCAGATTTCATGGCCTCAGCAGGGGCTAGCATGCCTGCAGTTTTGACCCCAATGTGGCTTAACACACACACACACGACATGAATTTTGCCTTCAAGATTTCGCGGTGCAGTTTCCCGGAACCCCCAGCACCTATCTCCTTGAAGCTTGGCAGGCTTTGTGGCCTCCACAGGGGCTTGCTGGCCTGCAGTTTTGACCCCACTGTGGCTTAACACATACATGTGACATGCGTTTTGCTTTCAGGATTTTGGGGTGCAGTTTCATCCAAATCAGGCCAGAAATGACAAAGTTATAGCCTGTTTTGACCTTCCCTATTATATCTTAAGGGAGAAACGTTGAAATAGGGTTGAAACAGAAAAACGTTTCGATGGAATGGGATAGAACAGCCATTTTGACTCGAAACAAAAATCCAAACAATACTGTTCGGTCGAAATGTCAAAACGCTGGTCAAAATGGAATGCTTCCATTTTGCACAGCCCTACTATCTAACTCTTGAGACCCACCAAAGCCTGAGCTTGGACATCTGTCAGAAGCACTGGAAGACTTCCTACTTGGGAAGGCATTTAAGCAAACAAAGCTAACCTGGGATATTGTCTAGGGGATGTTTCTAGAGGGAGACAGTGTTTTATGTTGATATTTTAGCTGTCTTTTAAGGTGTTTTGTTCTCTTGTTCATTCTCCTGTTTTATATGTTATTCTGTTCTCTTACTGTAAGCCTCCCCAAGCCTTTGTTGGAAAAGCAGAATATAAATTGAATAAATAAATAAATAAATAAATAGAGTACTGCTGACACCAACACATATTACACATAACTGGATAATAATGTGCTTGCTTGCGTCTATGTGCATTTGGTTGGATTTGTAAAGGGAATTCTTCTTCTATAGTAGGCAGATGATAAAAGGCCTTCAGAGAACAGTATGGATGTCAGTTTTTGCACTTATATATGCTTTGACTCTAAAATTGCATTCTTGTAGAAATGAAAACTGTCTTAGTAAGGTGGCATTGATGAACATTCAGGGAATACACTGCAGCAAATCCATACCACCTTTAATTTACCATTGTCACTGTGATGCACAATTTAGCCAATCAGAACTTCATGGTGACAGGAGCACTAGAATCCTTACCATCCTGCTCTGAGCCTCCCCTAGCAGCTCATTACAGCAATTAATTATTCTCTATTTTTTTCTCTGACTCGTCATATTGCTCCCTGCTACTTCTAAACTATACAGCTATTCACTCCCAAGGGATGAATCATGTCCAGTAGGGCTGTGCGAAGCTTCAGTCGCTGATTCGATTAGGTGGAGATTCAGCCCGATTTGGTGGCCAAATCTCCAAATCCAATTGAGTCAGGAGACCCTTTAATTTCTCTGAATTGAATCAGAACCCTTTGAATCAATTCAGAGAGATTCGGAAAGATTCAGTGATTCGAACATAGACATAGCTTTAAATGTTTTTTCTATATATCTCAAGGTATCAGGCAGCTCATCAACACTGTGATGCTGGGGCAGATGGAGCATCCCAGAGGATTGTGGGGGGGTCCCCAATGTGCTCGGCAGCAGGCCCGGAAGTGGACCAGAAGCACTTCTGGTCCACTTCCAGGTCCACTGGGGAAAGCACTGAGAGGCCTCTCCCATACCCCTACAGGTAGGCGACTTATGCTTCCTGGGTCTGGGGCCCCCCCCCCTGCACTCCCTGGCAGACCTGAAAGTGGATCGGGAGTACTTCCAGTTCACCTCCATGTTCGCCGCTGAGCATGTGGGCCCCCCATGCTCTTGTGGGATGCTCCATCCATCCTATCATTGCAGCATTCATGAGCCACACCTGGTACCTCGAGGTATGTAGAAAAAATATTTAAAGCTGTGTCTCTGGCCGAATTGCTGATTCTCCAAATCAGCATCGAATCTTCAGATTCAGATATGGCTGAATCAAATCGGGGACAGTGATCCAAATCAACTAATCGAATCACTGTCCCTGATTCAGGCTGAATCCAAATTGAATAGGGCCCATTTCACACACCCCTAATGTCCAGACCCAGCCAGAGCTCTGTAGCTGTTCATGCTCCCTTCTCTTTCAGATGACCTTTAATTTCATAGGTCTGGTCATGTCATCCTGGCCAAACCCTCAAGCTATAAGTAGAAGAAGCTGCCATTCTTGTTTGGAGGCTGTGCTCCACTGGAGATGAAATGGGAATACAGATTTGGACAGCCTGTTCTCTACAAGCTGCCTGCAGCCATAGTAGTATTTGATCTCAATTCAGAATCTTTTCAGGGAGGAATGTGCAGTCTCAGGCAATGGCAGGTGGGTGCTGGCTGCATTTCCACAAATGACACTGTTTTAGGGCCATGGCCTTATTAATCCTATTGCTGTGTTTGACTCTCAGGGCACTGACAGGGGAGATACAAGAAATGTCTGTGAAGTCAGTAGCAGAGCCCATAAAATGGGTGCCTCTGGCCATGTAAGGACCATAATCTACTAAAACCATATTCAAAGGAGGTGTTCATGCCTGTAGATTAAGCTACTACTGCTCCCACAATGTAGGAAGGAGTCTAAGAGAATGGCTATGTATCAATTGGGACTAATAATGCAGGGCACAGACAAAAGTGAAGCTTCCCGCTGTAACTGAGCATGCTTTGCAGGACGCGTTCTGAGTTGCAATGACCCCCTGGACCAAACAGAAGTTCACTCTTGGTTCTAGGGGGAAAGGAAATCTAGCTGTTGGCTGCCAGTCTGAAGCCAGTTGCCCATAGCAATGGCCCCTCCTCCCTGAGAGGCTGCCAAGTTTTCAGAATGAGAGGGGGGAAAGGGAGGAGATGGAACTCATTCTAAGGGTTCCCCAGTCAG